ATTGAACATTTGAGAAATCGAAAAGTACAAAAATTGAAAAGTTTTACAACTGAAGAATGTAAAAAGATTGTTAATTCGAGTTTTGAGAAATCAAAAAGTCGAGAATTCGACAAACTGGCACACGGGAAATTCAAGTGGTGAAAAGTTGAGAAATCAAAAACTTGAAAAATCGAGAAATCAAAAATTTAAATTTTATAAAATTATAAAATCGATAAATTAAAGAATCGATAAATTGAAAAACCGGGAAATTGTGAAGTCCCAAAATTGAAATGTAGAACATTTGGGAAATCCAAAAATTGAAACATCGACGAATCCAAGTCGAGAAGTCGAAAAATTGAAAAATCGAATAATCTAAAAATCGTGAAATCCAAATAAAAATGTAAAATTAAAAAAGAAAAACTTAAAAATCCGAAAATTGAAGGATCGAGAAATTGAAAAATTGAGTAATAGAACTTGCCCACATTTGAAAAATTAAAATTTGGAAAATCAAAAAATCGGGAAACAATAATCGAAATATCGAACTCATAAATAGAGAAATTGAAAAATTGAAAAAATGAAAAAACGAAGAATTCAAAATTCGAAAAATGTAAAATTTAAAAAAGAAAAATTGATAAAACAAAAACTGAAAAATCAATAAAACGAGAAATCCAGAAATTGAGAAATCGAAAAATTTTAAAAATAAAAAATGAAAATTTCAAAACATTGAAAAATCAAGAATGTGAAAAATCCCAAAACTCAAATATCGAAAAATTTGATCAATCGAAAAATCGAAGAAAAATTGCAAATTGCAAAAACCAAAACAGAAATATCTTAGAACTGAAACATCGAAGACTGAGATCGAAAAATTGAAAAATTGTAAAACTGAAATATCGGAAAATAGAGAAATCGAAAAATAAAAAAAAAACAAGAAGCCGAAAATTTGAAATCTCCCAAAAATGAAGTGTCGACGAATTGAAAATAGAGAAACTGAAAACTTGGAAAATCGTGGAATCGAGAAATTTTAGATATTGAAAAACCGAGAAGTCGATAAATGGAAAATAAAAAAAATTCACGTTAAAAATTAAAAAAAAAATCGAAAAATAAGAAAACGGAAAATTAAAAAATTGCAAAATGTAGAAAAACCGAAAAACTGAAATATCCAAACATTGAGCAATTGGAAAATTTGAAAAATTTTGATTAAAAGAATCAAAAAATTGAAAAATCGCATCATCTAAATCTCAGTAAATTGAGAAATCGAAAAATTGATAAAACTGAAAGATCGAAAAATCGAAAAACTGAAATATCTAAAAATTTAACCAAAAATTTGAAAAATCCCAAAACTCATATATTGAAAAATTGATCAATCGAAAAATAGAAAATTCGAAGAAAAATTGCAAATTGCAAAAACCAAAACAGAAAAATCGCAAAACCGAAACATCGAAAACTGAAATCGAGAAATCGGAAAGTAAAAAAATTAAAAATCAAAAACCTGAAACATCGAAAAATTGAAGAATTGAAAATCTGGAAATCAAAAAGCCGAAAAATCTAAAATTTAAGAAAAGAAAAATAATTGGAGAATCAAAAATTTGAAAAATCCCAAAAGTCAAATATCGAAAAATTGATCAATCGATAAGTGGAAAATAGAAAAATAGAAGAAAAATTGCAAAAATCAAAACAGAAAATTTCCACTACTGAAACATCGAAAACAGATCGAAAAATTGGAAAATTGGCAAATCGAAAAATAAAAAAACCAAGAAGTCGAAAATTTGAAAAATCCCAAAAATGAAGTATGGAAAAATTGAAAATAGAAAAATTTAAAACTTGGAAAATCGAGAAATCGAAAAATTTTAAACATTGCAAAACCGAGAAGTCGAGATATGGAAAATTAAAAAAATTGACATTAAAATATAAAAAAAATCGGAGAATTGAAGAATCGATAAATTGCAAAATGGAGAAATTGAAAAGTTACAAATTGAAATGTAGAAAAATCGAAAAACTGGAAAACCGAAACATCGAGCAATTAGAAAATTGAAATATCGATAAATCGAGGCATTAAAAGATAGAGAAATTAAAATAGGCGAAAATCGAAAAATTAAAATTTGAAAAGTTTAAATTAAAAAAAAAACAAAATTGAAAAATCGAATCATCTAAATCTCGATAAATCGAGAAATCGAAAAATTGTAAAGCTAAAAAATCGAAATATTTAAAAACCGAAAAATTGAAAAATATAAAATTTTAAGACGAAAAATTGAATAATCGAAAAACTGAAATATCTAAAAATTTAACCAAAAATTTGAAAAATCCCAAAACTCACATATTGAAAAATTGATCAATCGAAAAATAGAAAATTCGAAGAAAAATTGCAAATTGCAAAAACCAAAACAGAAAAATCGAGAAATCGGAAAGTAAAAAAATTAAAAATCAAAAACCTGAAACATCGAAAAATTGAAGAATTGAAAATCTGGAAATGAAAAAGTCGAAAAATCAAGATTAATCGAAAAACTGAAAAATCAAACGAGAACTCGAAAAATCTAAAATTTAAGAAAAGAAAAATAATTGGAGAATCAAAAATTTGAAAAATCCCAAAAGTCAAATATCGAAAAATTGATCAATCGATAAGTCGAAAATAGAAAAATAGAAGAAAAATTGCAAAAATCAAAACAGAAAATTTCCACTACTGAAACATCGAAAACTGAGACCGAAAAATTGGAAAACAGGCAAATCGAAAAATAAAAAAACCAAGAAGTCGAAAATTTGAAAAATCCCAAAAATGAAGTAGGGAGAAATTGAAAATAGGGAATTGAAAACTTGTAAAATCGAGAAAGCGAAAAATTTTAAACATTGTAAAACCGAGAAGTCGAGATATGGAAAATTCAAAAAATTTACATCAAAATATAAAAAATCGAAGAAATGAAGAATCGATAAATTGCAAAATGGAGAAATTGAAAAGTTCCCAATTGAAATGTAGAAAAATCGAAAAACTGGAAAATCGAAACATCGAGCAATTAGAAAATTGAAACATCGATAAATCGAGGCATTAAAAGATCGAAAAATTAAAATAGGCCAAAATCGAAAAATTAAAATGTGAAAAGTTTAAATTAAAAAAAAAACAAAATTGAAAAATCGAATCATCTAAATCTCGATAAGTCGAGAAATTGAAAAATTGATAAAGCTAAAAAATCGAAAAATTTAAAAACCGAAAAATTGAAAAATATAAAATTTTAAGACGAAAAATTGAACAATCGAAAAACTGAAATATCAAAAAATTTGATAATTTTTTTTTTTTAATCTCAAAAGTCAAATATCGAAAAATTATTCAATCTAAAAATAGAAAAATCGAAGAAAAATTTCAAATTGCAGAAACCAAATCCGAAAAGTCGAGAAATCGGAAAGTCGGAAAATCTCGTAAAATTGAAAAATCAAAAACCTGAAACATGGAAAAATTGAAGAATTGAAAATCAGGGAATCAAAAAGTCGAAAAATCGAGTCATCGAAAAGTCGAAAAATCAAACGAGAACTCGAAAAATCAAAAATTTAGGAAATTAAAACAATTTAATATCAAAAAATTTAAGAATCACAAATTTGAAAAATCCCAAAACTCAAATATTGAAAAATACAAAAATCGAAGAAAAATTATAAATTGCAAAAACCAAAACTGAAACATCAAAAGGTTGAAAATTTTGAGAAATCGAAAAGTCCAAAAATCGAAGAATCGATTAAAAAAAAAATAATAACTGAAAAATCCCAAAACTAATATCGAAAAATTGGGGGAAAGAAAACATCGGAAAGCCGAAAAATCGCGAAAACGAAAAATTGTACAATTTTGGTTTTTTACAACAACCTAGACATCACGAATAAAAATTCAGCACGGATTTATGTTACTCTGTAACATTGAAGCTTTGAAGTAACATTTATTCATGAAAGAATAAATTTTGATTAACCATTTATCATCCTTACGATAATCTTAAAACTTTAACAAAATTTTAGAGCATTATTATTATTATTTTTATTTCAAAATGTGGATGGCTCAACGCGGATTCGTAAACCACAAGTGCAGGAGTATCTTATATCGGATATAAAATTTGACAGCGATCGGTCCAGTAGTTTGGAGATTATTTGCCTCATAAATAAAAATCCGGACAGACGGCAGACAGACAGACGGATGGACGGACGGACGGAAACGGAAGACCTATTTTTTCGTATTCTAAGGGTCATGAAACCTCGAAAAAACAAAAAGCACAGTTTTAACAGTAATTAAAGAAGAAAAAAAAGTAACATGCAAATTTTACCTAGAGATTAAATAACGTATCTAAATTGTGCTTTTTAAGTTAAGCACTAGTTGTACATTGATAGTAATTTAGTTTCACCGACAAACTGATTGTTCTAGAAATTTAAATTAAAGAGTAATTTGTGGCGAAGGAAGTTTCGCTCGTTAGCGTCACCACGAATATAATCATAATTGTAGAAACTAAACATATTGTTATTTGCATCCACTTGATAAGTGTTCTATTTAACGGTAATAGTCGAGATGTTTATTGATTTATAGATTATAGTGAATGATTTATACACCATGAACTAGATACAACAACAGCGGAACACATCGTAGAGTTCACCGACAAGATTTAATGACCCTCCGCACAAATGATAAACCTCCACTACTCCATCTCAACTGAATGCATTATTTAACTAACTATCGTCTATAATTTCACACGACCATTTAAGTTAATGGAGGTTCGTTAAATGCGTTAATTGCTTTTAATTGTACGAAGTGAAAGTGTTGTAAACAACACGAGCACTTACGGCGAACAATGACTCGTGCAAGTCTTTATTTAAAAAAAACCCGAAGATGAATGAATCGTTCATACATGGATCTCGAACGACATTGTACGGAACGCAACAAATCGATTACGACGCACTTTCAATTATTTAATAGTCATCCTCGATGCATTATTCACAGTGTATGTAGTTAATTTTGAATGACAAGCTTTCGTTAGTTCATCGAATCGAATTTTGTTTGACAGAGTTGAGGACAACTCAACAGGGACAGGTATACTTTTTCCACATCCCCACCGGCGTGTCGACATGGCACGACCCGAGAATACCGAAAGATCTGGCCCCCTTGAGTCTCGCTTTGGACCACCTAGGCCCTCTTCCGCCTGGCTGGGAAATGCGCCAAACGGCGACCGGACGGGTAAGGAATTTTTTCTCTCAACTTAATAAAATTTAAAAAAAGCGGAATTTCCTCTTCAAATTTGTTGCTACACTTGGAAAGTAACTATTTATTTTATAAATTCGTTGTGTTGTTGGATGAAATAGTTGGTCATGTTTTTTGTAGATTTACTAAATTTAATCCTCAACCGTAGTGCGTTGAATATTAATCAGACATGAAAATTAAATCATTGTTGAGGCTCACTCGGACGTAAAGGCATCTGCCACGTTCTTTGCATTCCTTAGTCCACAGTAAGTCAGGTCTTAATACAACATCGACGTTCGCAAAGAAACAATTTTTTAAAAATCTTGAAAATTGCAACATTTTATCTTGGCTATTTTGAAAAAATGGTAGTAATTTTCAAAGAAATAAGTCGAAAATTACTTCTATAGGTCGCGATGTATAAAAAATCATTTTTTTAATTTTCGAAGGTGGCCGAAAATAAATTTCGTTTTCGTATTGTAAAATCGAGCTTTTGAAAAAAATGTCTAAAAATCTGGATATTTATACATCTCGACGTGCTATTTCTAAAAATATAAACTGTTTAAGATTGGAGTATGATTTTGGAAATACATATTCGGTTTGAAATTAAATTTTTTTTTTACTTTAAAGTTGCCTCATTTTATACCGGTAATTCTGAAAAAATAGTAGAAATTTTCAAAGAAATTATGCCAAAAATAACTTCTTCAGGTCCAAATCAACAAGCAAATCTCTTTAGCTTATTTTAGAATATTTTAAACATCTCGAAAATTGCCACCTTTTATGTGGGCAATTCTAGTAAAATGGTAGGAATTTTCAAAGAAATGAAGTCCAAAATAACTTCTGGAAGTCGAAATCAAGAAGAATTTTTTTTTGGTGAATTATTATTTTCACAGGTGATCGAAATATGGTCGAAAATTTCATATTGAAAAATTCAGGTTTTAGAAAAATTGCCTAAAAATCTGAAAAAAAAAATATAGATATAGATCTTGACAGGCTATTTTTTAATTTTCGAAGGTGGGCGACAAACGGTCGAAAATTTCGTATACGTATTGTAAAATCCAGCTTTTGGAAAAAATGTCTAAAAATCTGGAAATTTATAAATCTCGACGTGCTAATTCTAAAAATATAAACTGTTTAAGATTGGAGTATGATTTTGGAAATACATATTCGGTTTGAAATTAAATTTTTTTTTTAACTTTAAAGTTGCCTCATTTTATACCGGTAATTCTGAAAAAAATAGTAGAAATTTTCAAAGAAATGATGCCAAAAATAACTTCTTCAGGTCCAAATCAACAAGCAAATCTCTTTAGCTTATTTTAGAATATTTTAAACATCTCGAAAATTGGCACCTTTTATGTGGGCAATTCTAGTAAAATGGTAGGAATTTTCAAAGAAATGAAGTCCAAAATAACTTCTGGAAGTCGAAATCAAGAAGAATTTTTTTTTGGTGAATTATTTTTACAGGTGATCGAAAGATGGTCGAAAAATTCATATTGAAAAATTCAGGTTTTAGAAAAATTGCCTAAATATCTGAAAAAAAAAAGTATATAGATATAGATCTTGACGGGCTATTTTTTAATTTTCGAAGGTGGGCGACAAACGATCGAAAATTTCGTATACGTATTGTAAAATCCAGCTTTTGGAAAAATTGTCTAAATATCTGGATATTTATAAATCTGGACGTGTTAATTCTAAAGATATAAACTGTTTAAGATCCTGGAGCATGATTTTGGAAATACGTATTCGGTTTGAAAGTAATTTTTTTTTTTTTAACTTTAATGTTGTCTCATTTTATACCCGTAATTCTGAAAAAATAGTAGAAATTTTCAAAGAAATGAAGTCAAAAATAACTGCTTCAGGTCCAAATCAACAAGCAAATCTCTTTAGCTTATTTTCGAATATTTTAAACATCTCGAAAATTGGCACATTTTATGTGGGAAATTCTAGTAAGATGGTAGGAATTTTCAAAGAAATGAAGTCGAAAATAACTTCTGGAGGTCGAAATCAAGAAGAAATATTTTTTGGTGAATTATTGTCACAGGTGACCGAAAGATGGTCGAAAATTTCATATCGAAAAATTGAGGTTTAAAAAAAAATGCCTAAAAATCTGAAAAAAAATTATAAATAGATATAGATCTCGACGGGCTATTTTTTAATTTTCGAAGGTGGGCGAAAAATGGTCGAAAATTTCGTATTCGTATTGTAAAATCCAGCTTTTGGAAAATTTGTCTAAAAATCTGGCTATTTATAAATCTGGACGTGCTAAGTAATTCTAAAAATATAACCTGTTTAAGATCCTGCAGCATGATTTTGGAAATACGTGTTCGGTTTGAAAGTAATTTTTTTTTAACTTTAATGTTGTCTCATTTTATACCCGTAATTCTGAAAAAATAGTAGAAATTTTCAAAGAAATGATGCCAAAAATAACTTCTTCAGGTCCAAATCAACAAGCAAATCTCTTTAGCTTATTTTCGAATATTTTAAACATCTCGAAAATTGGCACACTTTATGTGGGCAATTCTAGTAAGATGGTAGGAATTTTCAAAGAAATGAAGTCGAAAATAACTTTTGGAGATCGAAATCAAGAAGAATTTTTTTTTGGTGAATTGTTTTCACAGGTGATCGAAAGATGGTCGAAAATTTCATATTGAAAAATTGAGGTTTTAGAAAAATGGCCTAAAAATCTGAAAAAAAAATTGTATATAGATGTAGATCTCGACGTGCTATTTTTTTTTTAATTTAATGCTAATGCTAATTCTAAAAATATAACGAGTTGAAGATCCTGGAGCATGATTTTGGAAATACACATTCGGGTTCAAAGTGAATTTTTTTTTAAATTTTCAAAATTGTCCCATTTTATACCGGTAACTCTGGAAAAATGGTAAGAATTTTCAAAGAAATGGAGCCAAGAATAACTTTTGGGGGTACAATTATACAATACAATTTTTCTAGCGAATTTTGGAAATTGTATTGAAAAACTGAGCTTTCGGAAAAATTGTCTAAAAATCCACAAAAAAATTCTGAGATATAGATCTCGGCGTGCTGATTCGAAAAATATTGCGTTGTTTACGCTCTGGGGGCAAGATTTTCGAAATATTCTCTTTGGAAGTGAAATTTTTAAAATAACTTGAAAATATGCTTCATTTCATATCGGTTATTTTGGAAAAATGGTAAGAATTTTCGAAAAAATTAAACCGAATATAACTTCTGGAGCTCAAAATCAACAAGAAAATCTATTTAGCTGATGTTCGGAGGTAGTCAAAAATGGTCGAAAATTTCATAAAATGCCTTTGGAAAAATTGCTAAAAAATCCGCCAAAAATTCTAGGAGTGAATCTCTCGACTTGCTGATTCGAAAAATATAACGTCGTTTTAGAAATATTTGGGTTTGAAAATTGAGATTATTTAAAAAAAAAATGGTTTTGACACTTGCGCACTTCGTATTGGCAATTCTGGAAAAAAGCAAGAAATTTTCGAAGAAGTGAAACCCAAAATAACTTCTAGAGGTCGAAATCAACAAGAAATTTTCTTTGGCTAATTTTCGCAGGTGGTCCAAAAACGGTCTAAAATTTCGTAAGGGGAGAGTATTGATAAAATGGAGCTTATGGAAAAAATGTGCCTAAAAATATGCGAAAAATCCTGGGATATAGATCTCGACGTGCTGTTTCCAAAAATATAGCTTGTTGATGGTCGCGGAGCAAGATTTTTGAATTCAAAATTTCTTAAAAATTCGTCAAAATTTCCACATTTTATTATTGTAATTCTGGAAAAATGGAAGATTTTTTCGAAGAAATGAAGTCTAAAGTAACCTGTGGAGGTCGAAATCATGAAAAAAATCTCAATGGTAAAATTTCGAAGGTGGGCGAAAATTGATCGAAAATTTCATAAAGGGAGAGTATGAAAAATTGAGCTTTCGGAAAAATTACTTAAAAATACGCAAAAAATTCGGGGATATAGATCTCGACGTGCTTATTCAAAAAATGTAGCTTGTTTATGGTTGCGCAGTAATATTTTTGAACTGTTCGATTTGAAAGTCAAAATTTTTTAAAAATTCTTCAAAATTTCGACATTTCGTATTTACATTCGGCAAACTGGAAAAAAATCCAAGAAATAGGGTCTAAAATAACTTCTAGAAGTCGAAATCAACAAGAAAATCTCGTTAACAAAATTTCGAAGCTAAGCGAAAAACGATCCAAAATTTTTTAAGAGAGAATTTATGGAAAAAATTTGCTTAAAAATCTGAGAAAAATTCTGGGATGTAAATCTCGACGTGCTGATTCGAAAAATTCGATTTGAAAGCTAACATTTTTTAAATATCTTCAAAATGTCCACATTTGTGTTGGCAGTTCTGGAAAAATGCAAGAAAATAACTTCCGGAGGTAGAAATCAACAAGAAAACCTTTTTGGTAAATGTTCGAGCTGGGCGAAAAATGATACAAAATTTTGTAAGGGGTGCTTCTGGAAAATTTTCCTAAAAATCTGCAAAAAATTGTGAGATATACATCTCGGCAAACTGATTCGAAAAAAGCTTGTTTATGATCGCGGAGCAAGATTTTTGAAATTTTCCATATGAAACCCAAAATAGTTAAAAAAATTTAAAATTTTCTACACTTCTTATTGGTAATTCTGCAAAAATACAAGAAATTTTCGAAGAAATGAAGCCAAAAATACCTTCTGGAGGTGGAAATCAACAAAAAAATTTCTTAGTTAATTTTGCAGGTGGTCGAAGAACGGTCGAAAATTTTATAAGGGGAAAGTATTGAAAAATTGAGCTTATGGAAAAAAGCTGCGAATAATTCTGTGATATCGACGTGTTAATTCGAAAAATATAGCTTGTTTATGGAGTAAGATTTTCGAAATATTCGTTTTGAAAGCCAAAATTTTTTAAAAATTCTTCAATATTTTCATATTTTATATTTGCAATGTTGGTAAAATGGAAAAAATTGCAATAAATGAAGTCTAAAACAACTTCTGGGAGTCGAAATCAACAAGAAAATTTTCTTTGGCTAATTTTCGCAGGCGGTCGAAAAACGGTCGAAAACTGTCCAAAAATCTGGATATTTATAAATCTTGACGTGCTAATTCTAAAAACATGAAGTGTTTAAGATCCTGAAGCATGATTTTGGAAATACATATTCGGTTTGAAAGTCAATTTTTTTTTGTATATTCAAAATTGCCTCATTTTGTCCCAGTAATACTGAAAAATGGTAGGAACTTTCACGGGAATGAAAGTCGAAAATTAGTTAATCTACAGGAAAATTTCTTTAGCTAATTTTCGAAGGTGGTCGAAAAATGGTCGAAAATTCATATTGAAAAATAGAAATTTAAAAAAAATTTCCTAAAAATCTACAAACAATTCTGTGAGCAATATTGTCGAAATAATTCTGTTTGGAAGTCAGATTTTTCAAAAATCTTTAAAATTACCACATTTCATATCGGCTATTCTGGAAAAATAGTAGGGAGTTTCGAGAAAATGAAGCCGAAAATAACTTTTGGGGATCAAAATCTACAAGAAAATCTATTAGGTGATATTCGAAGGTGGTCGAAAAATGGTCGGAAAATGGTTGAAAATTTCATAAAGTATTGAAAAATTGCACCTTTGGAAAAATTTTCAAAAAATCCGCAATTAAAAAATTTTGGTTTTCATACTTACTTCCACACTTCGCATTGGTAATTCTGGAAAAATGCAAGAAATTTTTGAAGAAATGAAAAATCAACAAGAAAATCTCATTGGCAAATTTTCGAAAATGGGTGAAAAATAATCGAAAATTTCGTAAGAAAGTTTTGAAAAATTGAGCTTTTGGAAAAATTGTCTTAAAATCCGCAAGAAATTCTGGAATGTGTATTTCGATGTTCTTTTTCGAAAAATATAGCGTGTTTATTGGGTCGGAGTAAGATTTTCGAAATGCTTTGAAATTCAATTTTTTTTAATATTTCTAAATTTCCACATTTCCTGTTGACAATTCTGGAAAGATGGAAGAGATTTTCTGAGAAATGAAGCCTAAAATAATTTCTGAAGGTCTAAATCAACAAGATGAAGAAAATCTGTAGTGAAGCTTGAAAAATGGTCGAAAATTTTATAATGGGAGAGTATTGAAAAATGGAGCTTATGGAAAAAAATTGTTTAAAAATCTGCAAAAAATTCTGGAAAAAGTCAAAATGTTCAAAAATCTTCCAAATTTCCATATTTGTGTTGCCAAGGAGAGTATTAAAAAATGGATATTTCTGGAAAATTTTCCTGAAAATCTTTGAAAAATTCTGTCATATAGGTCTCGACGTGCTGATCCGAAAAATATAGCTTGTTTATGGACGCGGAGCAAAATTTTTGAAATATTCGATTTGAAACTCAAAATTTTTAAAAATTCTTGAAAATTTCCACATTTCTGGAATTCTGGAAAAATGCAATAAAATTTTCAAAGAAATGAAGCCTAAAGTAATTCTGAAGGTGGAAACCAACAAGAAAATCTCTTCAACTAATTTTCGAAAGTAGGCGAAAAATGGTCATAAGGGAAATTATGGAAAAATGGAACTTTTGGAAAAATTGCTCAAAAATTTGCAAAGAATTCTGTGATATCGACGTGCTGATTCGAAAAATAAAGCTTGTTCATAGCCGCGCATCAAGATTTTTGAATGTTCAATTTGAAAGTCAAATTTTTTTTTAAATTCTTCAAAATTTCCACATTTCGTATTCGGAATTTTGGAAAATTGCAATAAATTTTCGAAGAAATGAAGCCCAAAGTAACTTCTGGAGGTCGAAATCAACAAGAAAATCTCTTTGGTAAATTTTCGAAGGTGGGCGAAAAATGATCGAAAATTTCGTAAGGGGAGAGTATTGAAAAATGGGTGCTTCTGGAAAATTTTCGTGCTAATTCGAAAAATATGGCTTGCTTATGGTCGCGGAGTAAGATTTTCGATTCGTTTTGAAATTCAAAATTTTTAAAAATCTTCAAAATTTCGACGTTTCTTATTGGGAGTTCTGGAAAAATGCAAAAAGAAATCGAGGAAATGAAACCTAAAGTAACTACTGGAGGTGGAAATCAGCAAGAAAATCTCTTTACTTGATTTTTAAAAAATTGAGCTTTTGGAAACATTAACTAAATATAAGCAAAACATTCTCGATGTGCTGATTCGAAAAATATTACACGTTGATAGTCTCGGAGCAAGATTTTACAAGTATTCACTTTGAAAGTAGAAATTTAAAAAAATCTTGAAAATGGGCACATTTCATATTGACAATTTTGAAAAAATCGTATGAATTTTCAAAAAAGTGAAACCGAAAAATAACTTCTAGAGGTCGAATTGTACAAAAACATCTTTTCAGCTAATTTTCGATGATAAACGAAAAATTATTGAACATTGGAAAAATGGAGCTTTTGGAAAGATTGCCCAAATTCTGCAAAACATTCTGTTATATCGGTGTGCTGTTTCCAAAAATATAGTTTGTTTATGGTCACGGAGGAAGACTTTTGAAATGTTGATGATTTGAAAATCAAAATTTTTAAATAGTCTTCAAAATTTCCACATTTCTTATTGGCAATTCTGGAAGAATACAAAACAATTTCGAAGAAATGAAGTCTCGTTGACAAAATTTTGAAGGTGGGCAAACAACAATCGAAAATAGGGGAAAGTATAGAAAAATTGCCAAAAAATCCACAAAAAATTTGGGGATGTAGATCTCGACGTACTAATTCGAAAATATAGCCTGTTTTGGCAAAATTTCCACCATTCTTGTTGGCATTGAAACCTAAAATCTAAAATGTCTTCTGGAGGTCGAAATTAACAAATCTCTTTAGTTAATTTTCGAAGGTAGGCGAAAAATGGCCGAAAATTTCATATATTTCAATACTCTCGTATTGAAAAATGGATCTTTTTGAAAAATTATCCAAAAATCTACAAAAAATTCTGTTATATAAATCTCCACGTGTTGATTTCGAAAAATATAGCGTGTTTAAGATCGCAGAGCAAGATTTTCGAAATATTCGGTTTGAAAGATAACATTTTTAAAAAAATCTTCAAAATTTTCACATTTTATATTGGCAATTCTGGAAAAATGCAACAAATTGTCAAAGAAATGAAGTCTAAAATAACTTCCGGAGGACGAAATGTACAAGAAAAACTATGGATTGCCAAAAATAATTCTCCAAATTAAATAATTAAAAAAAACAAAAACAATATAGAAAATTATTTACAAAAAAAAAACCTGTTGAGGATCATCATAAGTTTGATTCTATCAATTCTAGTTTCATTTGAAACGAAAGCGACCTTCGTTTTTAAATGTGAGGCCGATTTTGTATTTTTTTTTTTTTTTACGTCTCGAGGATTAAGTATATTTTTTTGGTGTAGTATATTGCTCGCTTTGCTCTACCACTCTAATTAACCAGATTGTGGATTTTTGAGAGAAAAATAGTTTTTATGGATATAGGGAAAATTTAGAGTAACTAGATAATAAAAACTCAATGTTAACATACAAAGAAAAAGGTATTAATAAGCTTTTAGTCATAAAATCGTGGATGGATGCAAGAAATCAGAACTTGTGTTTATTTGAAGACCTAATAATAAATCCAGGTTTATGTAGTACTAATATTTTGTCAGCCGGTGACAAGTTACCACATCTGTTATTTAAACCTGTTAGTTTTACTAAATAATGTACCGGTTGGCGCTTTCACAGTAAGTGTCATGCAACTCCAGGGAATTTAAGAAAGTATGTAAATGTTCGTCGTAATCTAGAATGAAACGTACACACCTACCAATTTTGACCACCCTATTTTCATTAATTTTCAACATTTTTTTCATAATTTTGTACCGTAAATTTCCAGATTTACTTCGTCGACCACAACAACCGGACAACCCAATTCACCGACCCCCGCCTCAACTCCCAAATACTCAGCAACATCCTCCGCCGCGCAAGCTCCACCTCCACCACGACCGCCACCACCAACACCACCAAAACCACCACCACCGCGACCACGACGACGACCACACCCTCCACCTCCACGACGACGACGCCCAGCACGACGAACACGACGACGACGACACCGTCCCCGGTGACCAACGGCCAGGCGGCGCCCCAAAACCCCGCGCCCCTCTCGCCCCGCAACCGCCTGACCGACGACCTGCCCCAGGGCCTCCTCAACGACAGCGACCACCTCCCCAAGTACCGGCGCGACCTCGTGGCGAAACTCAAGGCCCTGCGCGTGGAGCTGACGGCGCTCCAGCCCCAGAGCGGCCACTGCAGGCTCGAGGTGTCGCGGCACGAGGTGTTCGAAGAGAGCTATAGACTTATCATGAAGATGAGGCCGAAGGACATGCGGAAGCGGCTGATGGTGAAGTTCAAGGGGGAGGAGGGGCTGGACTACGGCGGGGTGGCGCGCGAGTGGCTGCACTTGCTCTCGAGGGAGATGCTCAATCCGCAGTACGGGCTGTTCCAGTACAGCAGGGACGACCACTACACGCTCCAGATCAACCCGGACTCGTCCGTGAACCCGGAGCATTTGTCGTACTTTCATTTCGTGGGGAGGATATTGGGGATCGCGGTTTTCCATAACCATCAGCTGGAGGGGGGGTTCACGCTGCCGTTCTACAAGCAGCTGCTGAATAAGCCGATCACGTTGCAGGATATAGAGGGGGTGGATCCGGAACTGCACAGGAGCTTGACGTGGATGCTGTAAGTAGGGGTTGCGGGGTGGATACGGGTCGGGTAGGGGCAATTTGTGGTCAAATTGGGGTTTTACGGCTTAAAAATTAAGTGTTGTGTTCGAGTCCATCAGACGACTGGCTACTTTTATGTTATCTCGACTCCGAGAGTACGTGAATGTTATTTAAATTTTATAAAATACTATTTTGAACTTGTGGTTTGTGAATCCGAGTTGAATTTGTATCCTATATTTCGAAATTTTTGAAAAAAAAGTCAAAATTGTACATATATGTAACAATTTTTCGAATTTTCGATTTTTCAATTTTTGACGATCCCAAATTTTCGATTTCTCAATTTCTTGATTAATAGATTTTTTGATTTTCTCCATTCTCGACATTTTTCGGATTTTCAGGTTTTTGATTTTTCAAATTTGGGATTTTCCAATTTTACGATTTTTTAATTTTTCGATTTTAACTTTTCGATTTTGGGTTTTAACTAATTTCGATTTCTCAGTTTTTCGATTCTTTAATTTTTCGCTATTTTAATTTCTCAATTTTTTAAATAGTAGATTTTTATATTTTCTAATTTTTCGATTTTTCGATTTTCCAATTTCTCGTCGTTTAGAATTTTTCAGTTTTTAGATTCTTCAATTTTCCGATATTTCCATGTGTTCGAGTTTTTAAATTGTGGATTTTTGATTTTTCAATTTTTCGACTTTTCGATGTCTCGATTTTTCAGTTTTTCGATGTCTCAGTTTTGGGATTTTTCAGTTTTTCGATGTCTCAGTTTTGGGATTTTTCAGTTTTTCGATACTTCAATTTTTTTCCATTTTTCAATTTTTCGATATTTCTGTTTTGGGATTTTCAATATTTCGATTCTTTAATTTTTCGACTTTTAAGTTCTTCTATGTATACTTTAATTTTTCAGATGTTTAACTTTTGGATTAGTTTTTTGATGTTTCGATTTTTCGGCTCCGGTTTTAGATTTTTCGATTTATAAGATTTTTGATTTTTCGGTTCTAGTTTTCTCGATTTTTCAGTTTTCGGATTTTTCAATTTTTAAATTTTCGATTTTTTCTTCACTTATTTTGATTTCTGGATGTTTATTTAATTTTTTAATTTTTCGATGTTTCGATTTTAAAATTTTTCGTCATTTCAGTTTTTTAATTTTTCAATTTCGATTCCTGTTTGCCGATCTTTCAATTTTTGCGATTTCCTAAAATGTGGATTTTCGATTTCTCGGTATTTTGATTTTCGACTTTCCCATTTGCAAATTTTAAATTTTTAAATCTTTCAGTTTTTCGATTTTTTTGTTTCGATTTTTCGTAATTCAATTTTTCTATTCTTCAATTTTTCGATGTTTCGATTTCCTTTTTCTCGTCGTTTCAGTTTTGGAATTTTTCATTTTCTCGATTTTTTAGTTTTTAAATTTTTCAATTTTCCGATTTTACAATTTTTTTTTTCAATTTTTCGATTTTTCGAGATTTTCGAAAAATTTTTTTTAATTTTTCGCTGCTTCTTCGGTTTTGGGATTTTTTCGAATGTTTAAATTTTGGATTTTTCAGTTTTTTGATGTTTCGATTTCTCGATCTTTCGACTTCAATATTAGATTTTCCGATTTTTAACTTTTCGATTTTGCCTTTTGACCTATTTCGATTTCTCAATTTTTCGATTTATCGATCTTTTGCTGTTTCTATTTCCCAATTCAGTTTTGAATTTTTCAATTTCTCGATTTTTCAGTTTTTTGATTTGAAGTTCTTCCATATTTCAAATTTTCGAATGTTTAACTTTTGGATTTTTCAGTTCTTTGATATTTCCATTTTGTGACTTCTTCGCTTTTAAATTTTTCAATTTTTAAAGTTTTACAATTTTTTAATTTCTCGATTTTTAACTTTTCGATTTTGGGTTTTAACTAATATCAATTTTTCGATTTTTCAATTTTTCGATCTTTCAATTTTCCAATTTCTCGTCGTTTAGTTTTGGAATTTTTCAGTTTTTAGATTCTTCAATTTTCTGATTTTACCATGTTTTCGATTTTTTAAATTGTGAATTTTTGATTTTTCAATTTTTCGACTTTTCGATGTCTCGATTTTTCAGTTTTTCGATGTCTCAGTTTTGGGATTTTTCAGTTTTTCGATTCTTCAATTTTTTTCTCCATTTTTCAATTTTTCGATATTTCTGCTTTGGGATTTTTAAACATTTCGATTCTTTAATTTTTCGACATTTCCCATTCTTATTTTTTCGATTTTTAAGTTCTTCAATATTTTAATTTTTCGTATGTTTAACTTTTGGATTTCGATTTTCAAAATTTTTGATTTTTCGGTTGTAATTTTTTCGATTTTCCAGTTTTCGGATTTTTCGATTTTGTCTTTTGACTTATTTCGATTCCTCGATGTTTGATTTTTTGAATTTTTCGATGTTTTCGATTTTTTAAATTGTGGATTTTCGACCTTCCGATGTTTCTTCGTTTTTCAGTTTTTGAATTTTTCAATTTCGATTCCTCAATTTTCCGGTTTTTCAGTTTTCCGGTTTTTCAATTTTTGAGATTTCCTAAAATGTGGATTTTCGATTCCTCGGTTTTTTAATTTTTTGATGTTTCGATTTTTCGTAATTCAATTTTTCGACGTTTCGATTTCCATTTTCTCATCGTTTCAGCTTTGGAATTTTTCAGTTTCTCGATTGTTTAGTTTTTAGTTTTTTCAATTACCTAATTTTTCAATTTTTTAATTTTTCGAGTTTTCCATTTCTCGATTCTTAAATTTTTCGGTGTTTCTTCAGTTTTGGGATTTTCCAGTTTTTCGTTTCTTTAATTTTTCGAATGTTTAAAGTTTGGATTTTTCAGTTTTTTGATGTTTCGATTTCTCGATCTTTCGACTTCGGTATTAGATTTTCCGATTTTTAAAATTTTTGATTTTTCGTTTTTTCAGTTTTTCGATTTTTAACTTTTCGATTTTGGCTTTTGACTTATTTCCATTTCTCAATTTTTCGATTTATCGATCATTTGATGTTTCGATTTCCCAATTCAATTTTGAATTTTTCAGTTTCTCGATTTTTCAGTTTTTCGAATTTTCAATTTTGCCATTTTTCAAATTTTGATTTTTCGACGTTTCGATTTTTAAATTTTAAATTTCCGAATTTTTCAATTTTTCGATGCTTCGATTTCCTAATTTCTCGTCGTTTCAGCTTTGGAATTTTTCAATTTTTCGAATTTTCATTTTGTATGTTCTTGAATTCTGCAATTTTCCAATTTTTTCGATTTTTTAATTCGTGGATTTTCGATTTTTTGACATTTCGATTTCTTGATTTTTCATTTTTTCAGTGTTTCTTTACTTTTAGGATTTTTCAGTAATTCGATTCTTCAATTTTCCGAATTTTGGACCTTTCGATTTTTAAATTTTGAATTCCCGAATTTTTCGATTTCGATTCTTCAATTTTTATTTTACAATTTTTTAAATTGTCGATTTTTAAATTTTCCAATTTTTCGATGTCTCGATTTCCTAATTTCCCGTCGTTTCAGTTTTGGAATTTTTCAGTTTCTAGATTCTAAATTTTTGATTCTTCAATTTTAAATTTTTCGATTTTTTGATTTATAGATTTTTTTAATTTTAAATGATTCATTTTTTCAATTTCTAACTTTTCGATTTTCCAATTGTTCGTCATTTCGGTTTTACGATTTTTATTCAATTTTTCAGAAATTTTAGATTTCTGAATTTTCCGATTTTTCGATATTTCGGTTCTTTAATTTTTTGATATTTTAATTTTTCAATTTTTTAAATTGTTGATTTTTAAATTTTCCAATTTTTCGATGTCTCGATTTCCTAATTTCCCGTCGTTTCAGTTTTGGAATTTTTCAGTTTTTAGATTCTTCAATTTTGTGATTTTCTAATTTTTGTGATTTTTTAATCAGTGGATGTTCGATTTTGCGACTTTTGGGATTTTTCAATATTTCGATTCTTTAGTTTTTCGACTTCTCGATTTTTAAGTTCTTCGATATTTCAATTTTTTGAGTTATTAAAATTTGGATATTTCAATTTTTTTATTCGAATTCTCGATTTTTCAACTTCGGTTGTAGATTTTCCTATTTTTAAAATGTCTCATTTTTCGGTTTTATGATTTTTCAATTTTTCCATTTTTATATTTAGACTTTTTTAATTTTAAATTTTTCAGTTTTTCAATTTCTAACTTTTCGATTTTGGCTTTTGACTTATTTCGATTTCTCAATTTGTCGATTTTTTGATATTTCGATTTCTCGATGTTTATTTTTTTAATTTTTCGATTTACCAATTTCCCGTCATTTCGATTTTGTGGAGTTTTTCAATTTCACAAGTTTTCGGTTTTTCAATTATTCAGTTTTCCGATTTTTTAATTTTTAAATTTTAGTTTTTTGAATTCTTCAGTTTTTCGATTTTTCTGTTTTTAGATTCATCAATTTTTCGATTTTTTAAATTATAGATTTTCGATCTTTTGAATTTCGATTTCTTGGTTTTTCATTTTTTCGATGTTCTTTCAGTTTTAGGATTTTTCAGTTTCTTGATTCTTCAAATTTTCGACTTTTAAAATTTTTGATTTTTCAATTTTAATTTTTCGATTTTTTGATTTATAGATTTTTTTAAATTTTATATGATTCAGTTTTTCAATTTCTAACTTCTCTCTTTTGGTTTTTGACTTATTTCTCAATTTTTCAGTTTTTAGATTCTTCAGTTTTCCAATTTTTAAATTTTAGTTTTCTGAATTTTTCAGTTTCTCGATTTTTCAGTTTTTAGATCATCAATTTTTCGATTTTTTAAATTATAGATTTTCGATCTTTGGAATTTCGATTTCTTGGTTTTACATTTTTTCGATGTTCCTTCAGTTTTAGGATTTTTCAGTTTCTTGATTCTTCAAATTTTCGACTTTTAAAATTTTTAATTTTTTAATTTTAAATTTTTCGATTTTTTGATTTATATATTTTTTTAAAATTTTATATGATTCAGTTTTTCGATTCTTCAGTTTTTAGATTCATCAATTTTTAGATCTTTTAAATTATAGATTTTCGTTTTTTAGAATTTCGATTTCTTGGTTTTTCATTTTTTTGATTTTTCAATTTTAAATTTTTCGATTTTTTGATTTATAGATTTTTTTTAATTTTATTTGATTCAGTTTTTCAATTTCTAACTTCTCGATTTTGGTTTTTGACTCATTTCGATTTCTCAATTTTGGTTTTTGAATTCTTCGATTTTTCGATTCTCCAATTGTCCGTCTTTTTGGTTTTAGGATTTTTCAATTTCCAGTTTTTCGATTTTTCAGTTTTCCAATTTTTCAATTTTTAAATTTTAGTTTTCTGAATTTCTTAGTTTCTCGATTTTTCGGTTTTTAGATTAATCAGTTTTTCAGTTTTTTAAATTAGATTTTCGATTTTTTTGAATTTCGATTTCTTGGTTTTTCATTTTTTCGATGTTCCTTCAGTTTTAGGATTTTTCAGTTTCTTGGTTCTTCAAATTTTGTATTTTCAAAATTTTTGATTTTTTGATTTAAGAATTTTTTTAAAACTTTATATGATTTGAGTTTTTTAATTTCTAACTTCTCGATTTTGGTTTTTGACTTCTTTCGATTTCTCAATTTTTGGTTTTTGAATTTTTCAATTTTTAAATTTTAGATTTCTGAATTTTCCAATTTTTCGATGTTTCGATTCTTCAATTTTTTGATATTTTAATTTTTCAATTTTTTACATTCTAGATTTTTAGATTTTCCAATTTTTCGATGTTTCGATTTCCCAATTTCTCACCGTGTCAGTTTTGAAATTTTTCAATTTTCATATTTCAGTGTTAGTCTTTCGATAATTTTAAAAATAATATAGATTTATACTGAACAGAACAAAAATTCCATGAGACAAATTAATGTTATACAAAAAAAAAAGAACTTTTCGATTTTACAATTGCGTTATCAATTTTTTCTATTCGAATTGTTTTTTCTTTCCAATTTTTCTCTTTTTTTAAATTTTCGATTTTTCAATTCTTTTCAAATTTTTTAATGTTTCGATTTTTCAACTTTTCGAATCAAAAAATGGAAACATTGCAAAATTATAAAATCAGAAATGAAGAAACGAAAAGTATAAAATGAAAACTTTGAAAAATCCAAAAATTGGTAACCAAGAACTTGAAAAAGAGAAGAAACGAACAATTCAAAAGTCGAAAAATTACGAGTTGAAAAATTTAAAAATCGAAAAAGTGCAAACTCGATGAAAACGAAAATGTATTGTAAAACCGAAATATTGAAAAATAAAGGGATCCGAAAATCGAAAAACTGAAAAATCAAGATCTATAATTTGAAAAATTGAATAAATGAAAAATTGTAAGATTGAATTACCAACTACATGATACTCCTAAATATACATAAATGTTCCTAATAAAAATTGATACAGACGACAGACAGACCGACAGACGCAAACGGTAGACCACTTTTTTCGTACTGTAGAGGTCTTGAAACTTCGAAAAAACACGAAAATGCCAAATCGTCTGATGGATTCGATTACTATACTTAGATTAACTTTCACGTTGCAACCTTCTAACGCTCTCACCCACAGCGAAAACAACATCGACGGCGTCCTCGACACCACCTTCTCCGTCGAGAACAACAGCTTCGGCATCGTCAAAGTCCACGAGCTAAAACCCGGCGGCGCCTCCATCCCGGTGACCGAGGACAACAAACGCGAATACGTCAAACTATACGTCAACTACCGGTTCATGCGCGGCATCGAACAACAGTTCCTAGCACTCCAGAAGGGCTTCACCGAGCTGATCCCGCCTTCGCTTTTGCGGCCTTTCGACGAACGCGAACTAGAACTAGTTATAAGCGGTATAGGTTCCATAGACATCGCCGACTGGCGCTCGCACACCCGCCTAAAGCACTGCACCCCCGAGACCCCAGTCGTGCAATGGTTCTGGCAGGTGGTGGAGTCGTACTCGGAGGAAATGCGCGCCAGGTTGCTCCAGTTCGTCACGGGCTCGTCCAGGGTGCCCCTGCAGGGCTTCAAGGCCCTGCAGGGCAGCACCGGGGCGGCGGGGCCGCGATTATTCACGATACACTGCATCGACTGCTCGCCCCAGAACCTGCCCAAGGCGCACACTTGCTTCAACAGGATCGACATTCCTCCGTACGACAGCTACCAGACGCTGGTCGACAAGCTGACGCAGGCCGTCGAGGAGACGTGCGGCTTCGCGGTCGAATGAATATATTGTATATCGTAGTCTTGAAAAAGACTGAAAGTGCCTTCGCTGCATGCTAGCTCTCACGGTTACGGTTCACAAGTGCCTAATGCTAGTCAGTCACGCTCGTAGAGAGTCATAGCACTTGGTTGGGGAGTTCAAATTAGTACAATTTCGTTGTAGATTAGGGTCCGCCGGGCCCGAGCTTTCTCACAGCTGACTATTGCCAAATGCTTATTTTTGAGAACGAGACACTTTTGAAATTGTGACACGATGCCTATTTGAAATCATGGTGATAGTTAAATGCCTGACCTGATGGCCAAAAGTGCTTTAAGACAACAATAAAGATTTTATGTATCATTGTTAGTTGATGATGTTATCTGGTGAAAAGACATATATTTTTACATTGTTTCCTTGGGAGCGGGGGAACGAAGTATTTGTTTTGTGATTGTTTTTTTCTGTACATACAGCGAACTGATTTGCGAGTTAAAAAGCATTAGGTTAACGAAGTTTTGATAAGCGGTATTGTGATTTTTCTATAATTTATCGATTTGTATATATTTTTATCTTTTGCACTTTTTGTTATCTACTTTGTAATTTTTCTATGATGATAAGGATACACAAAGCAATATCGTAATGGATAGTGATAATACGTTTTCTTTTCTATTCGCACATGATTGTATCACGTAGGAGAGCATTTTGTAACGATATTTCTTAAGTTAAATGTTTATTACCCTAGACTTACCCGATTATGGTGTTTCAAGATCACTATGAAAATACTCTTAGTGTACATAACGTTCTGTTTGGTTTTGTTCAGTTTCTTTGATTGCGTCATTGTTTATTTTATATATATTAGTGATAATTTAATTGTGGTGTTTATGTTAAGAATTATTTGTATATTGTATTCAGATGAATTATATTTTAAACTATTTTGTACGGAGGCCTGCTTTTTCACACCTATACGGATTTTCCTTGTCAAGGTTTTTGATGACGTATTAATCAACCAACAAGATGTTCTAATGAAATCTAGAAGACAGAGTTTGATTATTAGAAAAACTTAAATAATACTAATTAAAATAATTAAAAACCGAAGAACGAAATCGGTAGATGGAGATACTGAGCCATTGTTCAACAGAGCTTCCCTAGTCCCTAAAGTACAATGAAACGAATCCAATGTTTCAGACAAAACTTCAAATCACAATTCCCTAAAATTAAATTAAAAGTACGGCATCCGTCATTTATAAAGTATGGCGTACAAAATTTTTATCATCTACAAGAGACTTTACCTGTAATATTCAAAAAATGTCAAGAGACTTAAGCTGACCTGATCAATAACTTTCAGAGAATACCAGAATGCACGTGTCCGTAGCATTCAAGGAACATCAAGACCTGACCTGATCTGACTCAACTAGTATCATTCCAAAACCTAACCTAACCTAATCGGGAACAATCAAAGAACATTAAGATCTGAGATCTGTTTTGATTAGTAACATTCGAGGAACATCAAGATCTGTCATGACTTGACCTGACCTGACCCGGCTTGATCCCTCTATTAATATTCGAGGAGCATGAAGCTCTGACCTGATTTATCAGTATATTTCCGACAATTTGAACACCTGATCTGATTTGACTTGCCCAGTAAAACTGAAAGAACATTATCTGGTCTGACCTGATCAGACCTGAGCTAACCTAACCTAACCAGTGACATTCAAAAAACGTTGAAATCTAACATAATCTCACCATTAAGTAATTAGGATTCAAAGATCATCAAGCCTTGATCAGACCTGACCTGAGGAGTAGCATTCAAAGATCAGGACCTGGCTTTATGTGACGTGACCCTTTTTACATTTGTGGGGACTCCCCATCTTGATAGTCGCGACAGGACTACCCACTAAAAACCCCTTCTTTGGAATGTAATTTCCATGCCCGGAACTACTTCGCCCTCTATTTTCTTAGAGGGATCTCATTTACCAAAATCAGTCTTATCTTAGAAGGTACTAGCTACGCCCACCAACCCTCTCTTTTCTTAGAGCGTATGTCATTTGCCAAAATCAGTCTTATCTTAGCTCGTTCTAGCCCCGCCCACCCACCCTCTCCTTTCTTGGAAGGTATGTGATTTGCCAAAATCACTCTTATCTTAGTAGGCACTAGCCCCGCCCACCCACCCTCTCTTTCCTTATAGGGTATGTCATTTGTAAAATCGGTCTTATTTTAACAGGTACTAATCCCGCCCATTCAACCTGTATTTTCTTAGAGGGACCTCATTTACCAAAATCAGTCTTGTCTTAGCAGGTACTAGCCCCGCCCACCCACCCTCTCTTTAGGGTATGTCATTTGCCAAAATCAGTCTTATTTTATTAAATAGTAGCCCCGCTCACTCACTTTCTCTTTTCTTGGAGGTTATGTCATTTGCCAAAATCAGTCTTATTTTATTAAATAGTAGCCCCGCTCACTCACTTTCTCTTTTCTTAGAGGTTATGTCATTTGTCAAAATCACTCGTATCTTAGCAATACCTAGCCCCGCCCACCCACCTCCTCGATCTTTATAGGGTATGTCATTTGCAAAATCGGTCTTATTTTCGCAGGTACTAAACCCGCTAATCCCCCTCTAGTTCCTTAGAAGGATCTCATTTGCCAAAATCAACCTTATTTTAGAAGGTACTAGCCCCGCCCACCAACCCTCTCTTTTCTTAGAGTGTATGTCATTTGCCAAAATCAGTCTTATCTTAGCAGGTACTAGCCCCGCCCACCCACCCTCTCCTTTCTTGGAAGGTATGTGATTTGCCAAAATCACTCTTATCTTAGCAGGTACTACCCCCGCCCACCCACCCTCTCTCTAGGGTATGTCATTTATCAAAATCACTCTTATCTTAGCAGGACCTAGCCCCGCCCATCCACCCTCTCTTTCCTTATTGGGTATGTCATTTGCGAAATCGGTCTTATTTTAGCAGGTACTAACCCCGCCCATCCACCCTCTATTTTCTTAGAGGGACCTCATTTACCAAAATGAGTTTTATCTTAGGAATTACTAGAACCGCCCACCCGCCCTCTCTTTTCTTAGAGAGGGTCTCATTTGCCAAAATCACTCTTATCTTAGCAGGTACTAGCTCCGCCCACCAACCCTCTCTCTTCTTAGAGTGTATGTCATTTGCCAAAATCAGTCTTATCTTAGCAGGTACTAGCCCCGCCCACCCACCCTCTCTTTTCTTGGAAGGTATGTGATTTGCCAAAATCACTCTTATCTTAGCAGATACTAGCCCCGCCCACCCGCCCTCTCTTTTCGTAGGCGGTATCTCATTTGCCAAAATCACTCTTATCTTAGCAGGACCTAGCCCCGCCCACCCACCTCCTCGTTCCTTATAGGGTATGTCATTTGCCAAAATCAGTCTTATCTTAGACGGTACTAGCCCCGCCCACCCACCCTCTCTTTTCTTGGAAGGTATGTGATTTGCCAAAATCACTCTTATCTTAGCAGATACTAGACCCGCCCACCCGCCCTCTCTTTTCGTAGAGAGTGTCTCATTTGCAAAAATCACTCTGATCTTAGAAGGTACTAGCCCCCGCCCACCAACCCTCTTTTTTCTTAGAATGTATGTCATTTGCCAAAATCAGTCCTATCTTAGCAGGTACTAGCCCCGCCCACCCACCCTCTCTTTTCTTGGAAGGTATGTGGTTTGCCAAAATCACTCTTATCTTAGCAGGTAGTAGCCCCGCCCACTCACCCTCTCTTTAGGGTATGTCATTTGCCAAAATCAGTCTTGTCTTAGCAGGTACTAGCCCCGCCCACCCACCCTCTCTTTTCTTGGAAGGTATGTGATTTGCCAAAATCACTCTTATCTTAGCATTTTTCGATTTTTCAGTTTTTCGATTCTTCAATTTTCCGATTTTTCAAGTTTTGCGATTTCCTAAAATGTGGATTTTCGATTTTTTTGATGTTTCGATTTTTCGTGATTCCGTTTTTTTATTCTTTAATTTTTCGATGTTTCGAATTCCATTTTCTCGTCGTTTTAGTTTGGCATTTTTCAGTTTCTCGATTTTTTAGTTTTTAGATTTTTCAATTTTTTGATTTTTCGAGTTTTCCATTTCTCGATTTTTAAATTTTTCGGTGTTCTTCAGTTTTGGAATTTTTCAGTTTTTCAATTCTTCAATTTTTCTTCGATTTTTCAATTTTTTGATTTTTTATTTTTTTGATTTTTCAATGTATAAGTTCTTCTATATTTCAATTTTTCGAATGTTTAAATTTTGGATTTTTCAGTTTTTTGATGTTTCGATTTCTCGTTCTTTCGACTTCGGTATTAGGTTTTCCGATTTTCAAAAGTTTTGATTTTTCGTTTTTTCAGTTTTTTGGTTTTTAACTTTTCGATTTTGGCTTTTGACTTATTTCGATTTCTCAATTTGTCGACTTATCCATCTTTTGATGTTTCGATTTCCCAATTCAGTTTTGAATTCTTCAATCGCTCGATTTTTTAGTGTTTCGATTTTATTTTAATATTTTGATTCCTCAATTTTTCGAAATTTTACTTTTTCAATGTTTTAAATTGTAGATTCTTAAATTTTCCAATTTTTCGATGCTTCGATTTCCCAATTTCTCGTCGTTTCGGTTTTGGAATTTTTCAGTTTTTCGATTTTTCATTTTTGATATTCTTCAATTTTGCGATTTTCCAATTTTTTCGATTTTTTAATGTGTGAATTTGAGATTTTTGGACATTTCGATTTCTCGATTTTCCAATTTTTCAGTGTTTCTTCGATTTTAGGATTTTTCAGTGTTTCGATTCTTCAATTTTCCGAATTTTGGACGTTTCGATTTTTAAATTGTAAATTCCCGAATTTTTCGGTTTTTCAAGTTTTTGATATTTAGATTTTATTTCAATACATATTTCGATCCTGCAATTTTTATTTTTCAGTTTTTTAAATTGTCGATTTTTATTAAATTTTCCAATTTTTCCATGTCTCGATTTCCTAATTTTCCGTCGTTTCAGTTTTGGAATTTTTCAGTTTCTAGATTCTAAATTTTTGATTTCTCAATTTTAAATTTTTCGATTTTTTGATTTATAAATTTTTTAAATTTTAAATGATTCAGGTTTTCAATTTCTAACTTTTCGATTTTGGTTTTTAATTTGCCAAAATCACTCTTATCTTAGCAGGTACTATCCCCGCCCAGCCACCCTCTCTTTAGGGTATGTCATTTACCAAAATCAATCAGGACCTAGCCCCGCCCATCCACCCTCTCTTTCCTTATAGGGTATGTCATTTGCAAAATCGGTCTTATTTTAGCAGGTACTAAACCCGCTAATCCGCCCTCTATTTTCTTGGATTGATCTCATTTGCCAAAATCAGTCTTATCTTAGAAGGTACTAGCCCCGCCCACCCACCCTCTCTTTCTTAGAAGGTATGTGATTTGCCAAAATCACTCTTACCTTAGGTACTAGCCCCGCCGACTCACCCTCTCTTTAGGGTATGTCATTTGCCAAAGGGTATCTCATTTCCCAAAATCAGCCCAAATAGCTCAGTAACATTCAGGACCTGACTTGCACTGACTTGATCTGATCAGCAACGTTCAAAGAACATCAAAACCTGACTTGGCCTGACCTTACCTGGTCTCATCTGACCTGAGGTGACGTGACGTGACCAATAATATTCAAAGAACACCAAAACCTAACCTAACTTGACCTGACTTAATAAGTAACATTCAAGGAACATCGAGACCTGATTTTATTTTACCAGGTATAATCATAGAACATTAAGAGCTGACCTGAATTAGGCACAATGATTCAAAGAATATCAGGATCTGATGTGATCTTATCTGCCCAATAACATTTAAAGCACATTAAGATCTAGTCTGACCTGATCTGTCCTGATCAATAACATTGAAGGAACATTAAGATCTGACGTAATCTGACCGTATTTGATCAGCGGCATTAAAAGAAAATCAAGATATGATCAGACCTGATTTGATCTTACCTGACTTGATCTGACGTGACTAGGAACCATCAGAGAACACCACGACTTCGCATTACCCGTTTTGACCAAAACCTGACCTAATGTGACTTGGCTTGATCAATAACATTCGAGGAACATCAAGACCTGACTTTACGTGACCAGAAATAATCATAGAACATTAAGAGCTGACCTGACTTTACTTGACCTTCAAGGAACATCAAGACCTGACTTTACCTAACGTAACCCGACCAAAAACAATCACAGAACATTTGAATTGACCGGTAACATTCGAAGAACATCGATACCTGAGCTCAGCAGTATAATTCAAGGAATTTCAAGACATATTCGAACCTGACCTGCCCAATAATATTCAAAGAACATTAAGATCTGGTCCGACCTGATCTGTCTTGATCAGTAACATTCAAGGAACATTAAGACTTGACCTGATCAGTAGGTTTAAAAGAAAATCAAGATTTGATCTGATCTGTAAGGATCTGTAATCTGAGGAGCAAAGAATACCAAAACCTGACCTAACGACCTGACTTGACCAAAAACATGCAAGGAACATTAAAACCTGGCTTTATTTGACTTCTTAACCAGTGATAATCATAGAACATCAAGAGCTGACCTGACTTAACCAGCATGATTCAAAGAATATCAAGAACTAACCTACTTTATCTGCCCAGTAACATTCAAACAACATTAAGATCTGATCCTGATTTTTCCTGATGACGATCAATAACATTCAAGGAACATTAAAACCTGACGTAACCTGACCTAAGTAACATTAAAAGAACATCAGGACGAGTTGAGCTGACTTGATCTGATCAATAACATTCAAGGAACATCAAGACTTGACTGCATTTGACCTTACCTCGGCTGACCTAACTTGACCACTAACATTCAAAGAACATCAAGAAATAGCTTCACCACATTTCACGGGCAATATAACCTCACTTTCAGAAAATACATTGGTCGGGTCCAGCGAGCAAGAATAATTCTAGCAGATTTCGTACGACAATAATCAAACAGCGCAAAATAAAACCGACGTTAATTGACAACGACTGAAAAACTGATGCCGTATCTATGAACGTATTTACGTAGATTATTTAATTATTAAATTTTGAAATTATTATTTTAAATATTGAAAATTTTAAAATAGGGCGCATTTTGCAAGAACACGGAAAATTAAAAACCACTGCATTGTGTCTGTTTCTTTATTAATGAAACTACGTGAAATTGTGAAGTAATAACCGGAACTAATCGACAATGATGCAGTTTTGTTATGGTCACTCTATTTCCTTAAAAAAGCCGCAACTTTCTACCAGCTGCGAACTAAAAAACTACGACTAGAAACAAGACCACAGGTAAAGGCGGCACTGAAACTCCAAAAAACTCACACACTGTTTATATTTTGAACAATAAAATCCTATTGCAACTTTGGTAACAAACAGAATACTCATTTATGACTAATAACACAGACTCCTACAATTAAAACACACATCTAAATTTTTATTAAATTATTAACATTTTATAAAAATCTATGTAACATCCCCTCTCAAAATGACTTAAGTACACTGGCCAACTTCATCCGCATCATTTTGAGCAAGTACCCGCTTCCACGATCCCCGAACTTGTCATCTCATTCACAAAACAATACAAAAACTTAGAACTAAAACTACAAAACTAACTACAAATCTAGAGGTGCCTGAACGCTCGGTAGTCGTCACTGTATCCGTACTCGTCGGCATGTGATCATGTTCGTGTTCATGTTGATGTTCATGTTCATGTTGATGTTCATGTCCAGGCGTCGGCTCCGCACTAGTACTCCTCATAGTACTGGACGAAGTACTACTCCCCTCTGTACTCAAATCGTAGTTGAACTTATCATCATACAAGTAACTCGTACCACCCACAAACGCCGAAATCAGCCTGAAGTTGTACTCGTTCAAGTTCATTTTGTCGAAAATGAACCGATTCAACCCGTTCGTGAGTACCGTCAAGTTCCCGTTCTTGTCGAACGTGAAGGAATTCGGCCACTCGAGGTACTTCGGGTCACGTGCTATCAGTCTTTGCCCGGATTGGAAGGGCGTGTGGCTGTCCCACCGACCAATAGCGTTGTTCCCCAAAAGACTGTAGTACAGGATTCCCTGGTTGTCCATCACCATTCCGACAGTTTGGGACGGTTTTAACCCGATGTCTTTGATGGAGGTTTCGAGGTTCGTTTTGGCCAGGTTTTCGTTGCGGAGGACCGTGGTGTTGATGGAGTACAAGTGGAGGCTGGAGAGGGGGCAGTAGTAGACTTCGCGGTCTTCGTTGACGACGACTTTTTCGTTGCTGGTGTGGATCTTGGGGCCCAGGGCGATGGCCGCGATGTTGATGGGTGTGTTTATGGGTATTTCGTTGACGCTGAAGTTGATGGCCGATGGGTCGGCGCTCATGGTTTTTGTGTCGCGAATTTTCCAAGAGCGGTTTTCCTTGACCGAGTAGACGATCAAACCTGGAAATAAATTTTAATTAGTGTGTTTAGTACCGGTTTTTTATTAGTGGAAGGTTTTGCGACAGCGTTTGGTTTAATTTAATTAGTTTTTTGCCGTGAATGTGGAGAACTTCTGACTTCAAGCGTTTATTTAAAAATGTAAAAAAGTGGTGTCTTTCGTTTTTCGAGTTTTTAAGTTTAAATGTTTCAGTTTTGTTTTTCCAATTTTAATTTTTTCAGTGTTTTGTTTCTTCAATTGTTATGTTTGCAATTATTCAATTTGTTTTTTTTTTGTTTCTTCGAATTTCCTTTTTTTAGAATCTTTTTTACAATTATTTGTCTTCGATTTTTCGTTTCGGTTTTTATTTCCTTTATTTTTTGGTTTTTCAATGTTCTGATTTTATAATTATTGTTTTCAACGTGAAATTTTTCATTATTTGGATTTTTTAATTTTTCGGTTTTCAGTTTTTAGCTTTTTCAATTTTTTCCGATTTTTTAGTTTTTCGATTTTGAAACTTCTCGAATTAAAAAACGAAACAATTGCAATTTGATTTCTCAACTTCTCGGTTTTTAATTTTGAAAATTCTAATTTTTCAATTTTTTCGATTTTTAAATTGTGGATTTTTGATTTTTCAGGTCTTTAATTTTTGAATTTTTCTGTTTTTCGACTTTTGGATTTCTCAATTCGTCAATTTTTCTTCTATTTTTCAATTTTTCGGTTCTTAAGTTCTGCGATATTTCAATTTTTCGAATTTTTAAATTTAGGATTCGATTCGCTATCTTTCGCTTTTGTGTTTTTACAATTTTTGATTTTTTGAATTTAAATTTTTACATTTTACAATTTTTTGATTTTGACTTTTAACTTATTCGATGTCTCAATTTTTTATTTATCGATCTTTTAATGTTTCGATTTCTCGATGTTTTAGATTTTGATTTTTTTGATTTAGCAATTTTTAAATTTTAGATTTCCGAATGTTTCACTTTATCAATTTTTCGGTATTTTGATTTCTTGATTTTTCAATTATTCTATTCTTTAATTTTTTGATATTTTATTTTCAATTTTTTAAGGTTTAGATTTTTAAATTTTCCAATCTTTTGATGTTTTGAATTCTCATTTCTCGTCGTTTCAGTTTCGGAATTTCTCGATTTTTTTTGTTTTCGATTCTTCAATTTTTTGGATTATTTAAATTGCTGATTTTCGATTTTTCAGGCCTTTGATTATTTTAAATTTTTTCTATTTTTCGACTTTTCGATGTCTGGATTTTCCAAGTTTTCGATGTTTCTTCAATTTTGGAATTTTTCAGTTTTTCGGTTCTTCAATTTTTCTTTCATTTTTCAATTTTTCTAATTTTTAAATTTTGGATTTTTCAGTTTTTTTATTCGATTTTTACAATTTTTGATTTTTCGGTTTTAAATTTTTAGATTTTTCAATTTTTCTATTTTGACTTTTAATTTATTTCAATTTCATTTTTTTTTTTTATTTATCGTTCTTTTGATGTTCCGAGTTTTCGATGTTTTAGTTTTTGATATTTTCGTTTTACCAATTTTTCGTCATTTCGGTTTTGAAATTTTTCAAATTAATAATTTTTCAATTTTTCGATTCTTCAATTTTCCGATTTTTCAATTTTTGAATTTTTCAGTTTTTCAACTTTTTGGTATTTCGGTCTCCATTTTTCAGTTTTCTATTCTTTAATTTTTTGAAGTTTTGATTTTTCATTGGTCATTTCAATTTTTGGAATTTCTAGATTTTTATGGTTTTAGATTCTTCAATTGTCCGAATTTTGATTTTTTCGAATTTTTAATTTGTGGATTTTCGATTCTTCAAGTCTTTGATTATTTTCAATTTTTCTATTTTTCGACTTTTCGATTTCTCGATTTTCCAATTTTTCGATGTTTCTTCAGTTTTGGAATTTTTGACTCTCTCGATTCTTCGGTTTTTCTTCCATTTTTCAATTTTTCCTTTTTTAAGTTCTCCGATATTTTTTCAATTTTTCGGATTTTTAAATTTTGGATGTTTCAATTTTTTTTATTCGATTCTCGAACTTTCAATTTTTCGACTTCGGTTTTAGATTTTTCGATTTTTACAATTTTTGATTTTTCGGTTTTAAATTTTTAGATTTTTCTATTTTTCGATTTTTGCTTTTGAATTATTTCGATTTCTTATTTTTTTTATTTGTGGATCTTTTAATGTTTCGATTTCTCCATGTTTCAGTATTTGAAGTTTTTCGAATTTTTTGGATTTTTAAATTGCGGATTTTCGATTTTTCAGGTCTTTGATTATTTTCTATTTTTCGGCTTTTCGATGCCTCGGTTTTCCAATTTTTTGATGTTTCTTCAATTTTGGAATTTTTTAGTTTTTCGATTCTTCAATTTTTCTTCCATTTTTAAATTTTTCTATTTTGACTTTTAATTCTTTCGATTTCCCTTTCTTTAGCGATCTTTTGATGTTTCGATTTCTCGATGTTTTAGTTTTTGAATTTTTCGTTTTACCAATTTTTCGTCATTTCGGTTTTGAAATTTTTCAAATTAATAATTTTTCAATTTTTCGATTCTTCAAATTTCCGATTTTTCAATTTTTAAAGTTTCGATTTCTGAATTTTTCAGTTTTTCAAATTTTTGGTATTTCGGTCTCGATTTTTCAATTATTCTATTCTTTAATTTTTTGATATTTTAATTTTAATTTTTTTAAAATCTGGATTTTTAGATTTTCCGATTTTTTGATGTTTTGATTTCTCATTTGTCGTTTCAGTTTTGGAATTTCTAGAGTTTTATGGTTTTAGATTTTTCAATTTTTCGAATTTTCAATTTTTTGGATTTTTTAAATTGCGGATTTTCGATTTTTCAGGTCTTTGATTATTTTATATTTTCTATTTTTCCACTTTTCGATGTTTGGATTTTCCCATTTTTGGAATTTTTCAGTTTTTCGATTCTTCAATTTTTCTTCCATTTTTCAATTTTTCTAATTTTTAAATTTTGGATTTTTTAATTTTTTAATTCGATTCTCGACTTTTCGATTTTTATAATTTTTGATTATTCGGTTTTAAATTTTTAGATTTTTCAATTTGTCTATTTTGACTTTTGACTTATTTCGATTTCTCATTTTCTTTATTTATCGATTTTTTTGATGTTTCGATTTCTCGATGTTTTAGTTTTTGAATTTTTCGATTTTTCGATTTACCAATTTTTCGTCATTTCGGTTTTGGAATTTTTCAAATTAATAATTTTTCAATTTTTCGATTCTTCAATTCTTCAATCTTAGATTTCTGGATTTTTCAGTTTTTCTATTTTTTGGTATTTCAATTTTTCGATTTTTCAATTATTCTATTCTTTAATTTTTTTGATGTTTTAATTTTTAATTTTTTAAAGTCTAGATTTTTAGATTTTCCAATTTTTTTGAAGCTTTAACTTCTCATTTAGCGCCGTTTCAGTTTAGCAGTTTCTCTATTTTTCTGGTTTTAGATTCTTCAATTTTCCGAATTTTCAATTTTTTCGATTTTTCAGACTTTTCGATTACTCGATTTTCCAATGTTTTGATGTTTCTTCAGTTTTGGAGTTTTTCACTTTTTCGATTCTTCAGGTTTTTTTCCATTTTTCAATTTTTCGATTTTTAAGTTCTCCGATATTTCAATTTTTCGAATGTTTAAATTTTGGATTTTCAATTGTTTGATTCGATTCTCGACCTTCAGATTTTTCGACTTTGGTTTTAGATGTTTCGATTTTTACAATTTTTGATTTTTCTATTTTAAATTTTTAGATTTTTCAGTTTTTCGATTTTGACTTTTGACTTATTATTTCGATTTCTCAATTTTTTTATTTATCGATCTTTTGAAGTTTCGTTTTCTTGATGTTCTATAGTTTTTGAATTTTTCGATTTTTCGATTTACCAGTTTTTCGTCGTTTCAGTTTTGGAATTTCTCGATTTTTCTGGTTTTAGATTCTTCAATTTTCCGAATTTTCGATTTTTTCGATTTTTCAGGTCTCTTATTTTCAATTTTTCGACTTTTCGATTTCTCGATTTTCCAGTTTTTCGATGCTTCTTTTATTTTGGAGTTTTTCACTTTTTCGATTCTTCAGTTTTTCTTCCATTTTTCACTTTTTCGATTTTTAAGTTCTCCGATATTTCAATTTCTCAAATTTTTAAGTTTTGAATTTTTCAATTTTTTTATTCGATTCTCGATTTTTCCTTTTCGGTTTTAGATTTTTCGATTTTTGCACTTTTTGATTTTTAGGTTTTAAATTTTAGATTTTTCAGTTTTACAATTTGGCTTTTGATTCATTTCGATTCCTCAATTTTTTTATTTATCGATCTTTTGATGTTTCAATTTTTCACTATTTTAATTTCACTGAATTTTTCGATTTGTCCGTTTACCAATGTTTCGTCATTTCGGTCTTGGAATTTTTTAAATTTTTCAGTTTTTCGTTTTTCGATTTCTAGATTTTTAGATTTTCTAATTTTTGGATGTTTTGATTTAACCCATTTCTCGTGGTTTGAGTTTTGGAATTTCTCGATTTTTCCGGTTTTAGATTCTTAAATTTTCCGAATCTTGAATTTTTGTCTATTTTTTAAATTATGGTTTTTCGATTTTTTAATTCTTCGATTTTTAAATTTTAGATTTCTGAATTTCTCAGATTTTTTTATTTTTTCATCATCGATTTTTCAATTTTTCGATTCTTCAAGTTTTCAATATTTTGATTTTTCAATTTTTTAAATTCTAGATTTTTGGATTTTACAGTTTTTCTTCACTGTTACAGTTTTTCGCCTTTACAATTTTTATAATAATAATAATAATAATACTGTAGATTTATGACTAACAGAACAAAAGTTCCAAAAGAGACAAAACAAAAAAAGTTGACAATTCTACAATTTTCAACTTTTCAATTTTTCAGATTTTTTAGATTTTCGATTTTTCAATTTTTTTGATTTTTCAATATTTTAGAATCAAAAAGACAGAAAAATTGCAAAGTTGTAAAATCAAAAATGAAAAAACGAAAAATTATAAAATGAAAACTTTGAAAAATTT